GGCAAAGAGACTCATGAACATGTCGACTTGGTTTGGGTCTCCGCAACCACGTACCTTAAGAAAAAAAAAAGAGAGCTTGATGAGAGTGGTATTAGACTGATCAGCAGTTTTGGACCCAAACTCTACACCAACTATCCCAAGCCTCCAGTACCTTTCACTCTCACAGATGGCTCTTGTTGGGGAGACCTAGTAAATCTAGCCAAGAGGTATATTTCTCCTACAACGATTGATTACTAAGCAGTGACCGAACCATCAGAGTTTCGGCATCTCAGACGAGGGATCTTCTCTCAACCATATCTTTCTACTGTATGCGAGGAGTTTTGTGCTATGGTTAACTTTCGTGTCATAGGACTTGGAAGTGTTCTGAGCTTGCGGGCTTTAGGTGGCTCTATATCCAGAGGCCACAATCTCAAGAGGTACATAGGTGCGGTTCCTAAGACCGGGGACCGGCGAAGACCGCAATTGAAGGGTCTCGCTCGAAGCCGGACGCACACAACAGGAAAGGATTTGCTTTACTTTATTTATTTATTTAATGCAAAACATCATCAAAATCCTGTGTGACAGCCTGTTGGCTTTCTGGTTGCCTGAAGAGGCCCGACTAGAAAAACTGCGACAATGGGCTGCCGATGCCACATCACGGAGCCTCCTTTTAAGTCAATGTCATGGATTATAGAGCCTTTTGTTCCAGTCATGATGTGCAACCCAGTCAATTCTATTAGTCTGCCGTCCATAGCGGCGATTAGTGACAGAGACAGGGAGGTTACCATAAAGGGGATCGCAAGGAAGAGATGTGGTTCATGCCCCACCACCGGCATAGATATCCCCGTTTGAATCCCTTGCCAGATTCTCCCGCTGTGTCACTGACATCATTCGTGAAACTTTTTTAATTTCATTGGTGAAAATTAAAAAAAATCAAGAAGTACCTTTTTCCAAGAAAGGGTAGAGTTCTATAAGAGATTATCAAAAGGATGGTCGAATGTAATGGAAGGGAACACCATGGTCCAGGACTTCAGGCCCGTCGGCTCAGCACGAGGAAGGCTGCCTACGTCCCCGGCAGGAAGCCTCTCGCCACAGAGTTTTTGAAATGATGACTCGGCTGGTGCTCAGAATGCCTCCACCTGTGAATGTGATCTGGGCAACTGCCCTAGACGCCGGGCACAGCAGGACTAGCTAGACTGTTACATAGGAGGTGTCCCATCGTCATCAAAAACAACTGTGTACAAGGTTCATGTCAAGGAGGGCGTCTCGCAAGGGTGAGCTGAGTAGGAATACTCCGCACCTGAGTCTGGTACAGCTTGGGTGGGGCGCTGACTACACTCACTGCGCGGAAGGAAAGGGCAAGCAGTGACCGCCAGCACAGGCCACGGGATCCTCTGTGTGTGTGTGTGTGTAAGAGAGAGAGAGAGAGAGAGAGAGAGAGAGGGAGAGAGAGAGAGAGAGAGAGAGAGGGAGAGAGAGAGAGAGAGAGAGAGAG